TTGATTGTCAAACCACTAAGCCAAGAAATATGTCCGAAAGATTTCCACATGGCATTGTTGTTTTTGGTAAGGTCTATTTGTTCTTTTTCTATGTAAATTATATAAATTTTCGTAAAAAACACCATATTCTGGAGCATACGTATAAGACACCATTGGTCCGATTTTGATAAGAATTCGATTTTGTACAACTTTGGAGGATCTTCTTTGCACATTATGATTGTCAAAGCCCTAACCAAAGAAACATGTCCAAGAGATTTCCGCATGGCATAGTCGTTTTTGATAAGGGCTATTTATTTTTTCTCCATATAAAGTGTTAAATTTTCGTGAAATGCAATATATTCCCTTGCATACTGCAAAAACACCATTCGTCCGATTTTGATGCAGATTCGATTGTGTACAACTTTAGAGGGTCTTCTTTACACATTATGCTTGTCAAAGCACTAACCCAAGAAATATGTCCGAGAGATTTCTGCATGGCATTGTTGTTTTTGGTAACGTCATTTTGTTCTTTTTCTATGTAAATTATATAAATTTTCGTAAAAAAACACCATATTCTCGATCAAACTTATAAGACACCATTGGTCTGATTTTGATAAGAATGCGATTTTGTACAACTTTAGAGGGTTTACTTTGCACATTATGATTGTCAAAGCCCTAACCAAGAAATATGTCTGAGAGACTTCCGCATGGTATAGTCGTTTTTGGTCAGGGCTATTTATACTTTCTCTATATAAAGTGTATACATTTTCGTAAAAATCAGCATATTCTCGAGCATACTGCAAAGACACCATCGGACCGATTTCGCTGCGGATTCGATTTTGTACAACTTTGGATGGTCTTCATTGCACATTATGCTTGTCCAAGCACTAACTCAAGAAATTTGTCCGAGAGATTTCTGCATGGCATTGTTGTTTTTGGTAACGTCATTTTGTTCTTTTTCTATATAAATTATATAACTTTTCGTAAAAAGCACCATATTCTCGAGGATACTTATAAGACACTATTGGTCCGATTGTGATTAGGATTCGATTTTGTACAACTTTAGAGGATCTACTTTGCACATTATGATTGTCAAAGCCCTAGCCAAAAAAATATGTCCGAGAGATTCCCGCATGGCATAGTCGTTTTTGATAAGGGCTCTATATTTTTGCTCTATATAAAGTGTATAAATTTTCATGAAATGCAATATATTCCCTTGCATACGGCAAAAACACCATTCGTCAGATTTTGATGCAGATTCGATTGTATACAATTTTAGAAGGTCTTCTTTGAACATTATGATTGTAAAAGCACTTACGCAAGAAATATGTCCGAAAGATTTCCGCATGGCATAGTCGTTTTTAGTAACACCACTTTGTTCTTTTTCTATGTAAATTATATAAATTTTCGTAAAAAGCACCATATTGTAGAGCATACTTATAAGACACCATTGGTCCGGTTTTGATAAAGATTCGATTTTTTACAACTTTGGAGGGTCTACTTTGCACATTATGATCGTCAAAGCCCTAACCAAAGAAATATGTCGGAGAAATTTCCGCATGGCATAGTCGTTTTTTTTAAGGGCTATTTATTCTTTCTTTATATAAAGTGTATAAATTTTCGTCAAATGCAATATGTTCCCGACCATACTGCAAAAACACCATTTGTCCGATTTTGATGCAGATTGGATTTTGTACAACTTTGGAGGGTATACTTTGCACATTATGATTGTCAAAGCACTAACCCAAGAAATATGTCCGTGAGATTTCCGCATGGCATTGTTGTTATTGGTAACGTCAATATGTTCTTTTTCTATAAAATTATATAAATTTTCGTAAAAAAAAACATATTCTCGAGCATACTTATCAGACACCATTGGTCCGATTTTGATTAGGATTCGATTTTGTACAACTTTGAAGTGTGTAATTTGCACATTATGATTGCCAAAGCCCTAACCAAAGAATTATGTCCGAAAGATTTCCGCATGGTATAGTAGTTTTTGGTCAGGGCTATTTATTCTTTCTCTATATAAAGTGTATAAATTTTCGTATAAATCACCACATTCTCAAGCATACTGCAAAGACACCATCGGTCCGATTTCGCTGCAGATTGGATTTTGTACAACTTTAGAGGGTCTTATTTGCACATTATGATTGTCAAAGCATTTACCCAAGAAATATGTCCGAGAGATTTCCGCATGGCATAGTTGTTTTTGGTAACGGCATTTTGTTCTTTTTCTATGTAAATTATATAAGTTTTCGTAAAAAGCACCATATTCTCGAGCATACTTATAAGACACCATTGGTCCGACTTTGATTAAGATTCGATTTTGTACAACTTTGGAGGGTTAGTTCTTTGCACATTATGATTGTCAAAGCCCTAACCAAAGAAATATGTCGGAGAGATTTCCGCATGGCATAGTCGTTTTTGGTGAGGAGTATTTTATTCTTTCTCTATATAAAGTGTATAAATTTTCGTAAAATGCACCTTTTTCCCGAGCATATTGCAAGAACAACATTCGTCCGATTTCATTGCGGAATCGATTTTGTATAATTTTTTAGGGTCTTCTTTGCATTTTATGATCGTCAAAGATCTAACCTAAGAAATATGTCCGAGAGATTTTGGCATGGCATAGTCGAGTTTTATAACGGCTATTCGTTTTTTTATATAAAATGTATAAATTTTCGTGAAAAGCACCATAATCTCGAGCATACTGCAGAGATACCATTCGTCCGCTTTCGCTGCGGATTGGATTTTGTACAACTTTGGATGGTCTTCTATGCACATTATGATTGTCAAAGCACTAACCCAAGAAATATGTCCGAGAGATTTCCGCATGGCATTGTTGTTTTTGGTAACGTCAATTTGTTCTTTTTCTATGTAAATTATATAAATATTCGTAAAAAGCACCATATTCTCGAGCATACTTATAAGACACCATTGGTCCGATTTTGATTATGATTCGATTTTGTACAACTTTGGAGGGTTTACTTTGCACATTATGCTTGCCAAAGCCATAACCAAAGAAATATGTCCGACAGATTTCCGCATGGTAAAGTAGTTTTTGGTCAGGGCTATTTATTCTTTCTCTAGTATATAAAGTGTATAAATTTTCGTAAAAATCAGCATATTCTCGAGCATACTGCAAAGACACCATCTGTCCGATTTTGCTGCGGATTCGATTTTGTATAACTTTGGATGGTCTTCTTTGCACATAATGATTGTTAAAGCACTTACGCAAGAAATATGTCCGAGAGATTTCCGCATGGCATAGTCGTTTTTAGTAACATCACTTTGTTCTTTTTCTATGTAAATTATATAAATTTTCGTAAAAAGCACCATATTCTAGAGCATACTTATAAGACACCATTGGTCCGTTTTTGATTAATATTCGATTTTGTACAACTTTGGAGGGTCTTCTGTGCACATTTTGATCGCAAGCCCTAACCAAAGAAATATGTCCGAGAGATTTCCGCATGGTATAGTCGTTTTTGGTCAGGGCTATATATTTTCTTTCTGTATATAAAATCTATAAATTTTCGTAAAAATCACCATATTCTCGAGCATACTGCAAAGACACCATCTGTCCGATTTCGCTGCGGATTGGATTTTGTACAACTTTGGAGGGTCTTCTTTGCACATTATGATTGTCAAAGCACTAACCCAAGAAATATGCCGAGAGATTTCTGCATGGCATTTTTGTTCTTGGTAACGTCATTTTGTTCTTTTTCTATGTAAATTATATAAATATTCGTAAAAAGCACTATATTCTGGAGCATACTTATAAGACACCATTGGTCCGATTTTGATTAGGATTCGATTTTGTACAATTTTCAAGGGTCTTCTTGCATATTATGATTGTCAAAGCTCTAACCAAAGAAATATTTCCGAGAGATTTCCGCATGTCATAGTCGTTTTTGGTAAGGGCTATATATTCTTTCTCTATATAAAATCTATAAATTTTTGCAAAATGCACTATATTCCCGAGCATACTGCAAAGGCACCATTCGTCCGATTTTGATGCGGATTCGATTTTGTACAACTTTGGAGGGTGTTCTTTGCTCATTTTGATCATCAAAGCCCTAACCCAAGCAATATTTCCAGGAAATTTCCGCGTGGCTTCTTGATTTTTCTGGACTTGCCATTTGTTCTTTATCTATACAAAGTCTGTATATTAAATTTTCGCAAAAAACACAATACATGTATTATCGAGCTTTCTATTAAGAAACCATATGTCCGATTTCGTTGCAGATTCAATTTTGTACGACTTTGTATTGTCATCTTGGCTCATGATGATCGTCAAAGCCTTAACCCAAGAAATATGTCCGGGAGATTTCCGCGTGGGATGGTCGTTTTTCAAGACCTGCAAGTTGTTCTTTACCTACATAAATTGTAAAGAATTTCGAAAAATATATTATTTTCTCGAGTCGACTGTACATAAATAAGAAAGATTTGACAATCTAAGTTAAATTCATTTTTTTTTTACCTCGAACAGTCAATGTCATTAAAAGGTCAAGGTGATATTTGAATTACTCAACATGCTGTTTTTGTAATAAATGTTCTTTTGTCTAAGTGAAAACAAAGGTAAAGCCAATTATAGCAAAATATAATAAAGCAAAATGCACTATTTCATTTTAGCATCGTCACTAGAGTGTTAAATCGCTGTAAATAATGTCTACTTCAAGGTCTTTGTCGGAAAGAATGCTGTGTGTGATTATGAAGACAAAACATTCAAAGACAATACACAAAAAGAAAAAAGAAAAACAAATAGGTAAAATAGTCACCGCCTAGCGGGAGTCACGCTCGACTTCTTATTACTAATATCAGGAAGAATATTATAGAAACGTGTTCTCCTAGAAAACATAATTTTATAGTAAAATAATCAAATTCAGATTTCATAGTGCTCTTATTCTGAGAATGAATCAAATCCATTAACAAATAACAAAGTAATGACAAGTTAATGAAATATAAATAATTTGACATTGACGGTCAATGTCACATAAATAAATGAAACAATAAAAGGTGATTTCTTTCTTCTTTATTGTCATTATCTATTAAGTGGCTTGACTTCTTATTTCTTGGAAGGCAAATGAAAAATGAAAATCATACACTCTTAAAAGACGATGAAAGAATATCTCTTTCGCATGTAAAAAATCAACTGCAACTTTTCGTCCCTTTCCGTTAAATACGTATAACGACTCCCGGTATTTGGCCAGATGCCCAAAATGATAAGAGTATAATACTATTATTTGTGTAAAGTTGTTTCGTTATTATAAACGTTTTATGTACAAGTACTTAAAGTACTTTTATAACTGTGTTACAAATATTTTACTTTCATACTTAAATTATAAACAATACATGTCACTTGAAAGCAAAGTTTGTATTGTAATATAGCAAATACAGAGCATAGAGATACAGTTAAGGATTTATTTATCCATTTGATTGCCAATAAAACCGAATTGTTAAAACATAAATAATAAAAAGGCCTTTAAGCTGTTACTTTTTATGAAATTGTTGAAAACCCTTTCCCGATCATAAGGCGTATATAATTGATTACTAGTAAGTACAGAATTCCGTTTTGAGGCATTTTATCATATTAATTAAGAAGACGACGAAGGCGGATACGCTTAACAGTGATAAATCATGTGAGAACACAATATAAAGATGCAAATTCACGCTGCAAAATTGCAATATAACATGCTTTTCCGCGATTGAGAATCCTTCTGTGTTGACTTTTCCATAGTTTAACATTACCATTTATCATTAATATAATTTATATAATTTATCTTATACGCTTAAACTCGTCATGATTCACAAAAGACGTTTCCCAATTATCCTTGCGTTCTTTAAATCTGGTCAAAATCCACTGTGTTCGGATAATTCCGTCTTCCGGATAATAAATTCCCGACCATGCTGTCGCTGAATGGGAGTTTCCAAATTTCTTGTTATTCCAGGAGACAACCCAGCCAAGTTCTACCACGTCGTTTTTCGGACCCGAAAGTGTGTATCTTCCGGACAAGAGATAGTAGTCCTCAGCGTGGCCTACAGCTGAGTTGTATTTGCCATCAAGCTGACCGTCCTTGCAGGTGAAGGTCACATTAGAACCTAACTGATTTCTCCAAGTTCCAGCGATACCACAGTCGCACCCATCTGTTGATAAAAAAGAAGATTCGTGTTCACAATGTTACAAAAATCTGATTATTTCTTTGCATGAAAGTATTAATACTCACATCACAAGTATTAATACATTACACAAATAAAATCTTATTTGCAGTCTAAAAACAGCTTCGGTGATTAACATTCTACTACAGAAACTGCACCTATAACAACTATGATCCTTTTAAGAACGCTCGATTACACTTGCATTTGAGAACAAACCCCTTTAAAAAATTTACAATTTCCGCTCGCTTACAAAATCCGCGAACAAATAACGAATTCCCATTTCTTTCAATAGTTTAAAACTCACCACTACTCCAGCTTTTCATTAGAAAACGTACACTTTTATAATAAGTCATTAGCATTGACGTATAAACAATATGATATTCTAGAGAAAAAATAGCACTCGCTTACAGCAAACATTGGTAAACATAGATATTTTTTCTACAAGGTTTTTATTTCATTCCATCGTTTAAATTACTCATTGTATAAGAAATGTATGAATAGTTTACAAACCTTCTGCCGAACAAAATGTTTCTGCAAAGCATGTCTGCCACAAAACTGCAACTAGAAGTACAATTACTATGAACATTCTCACAAAACATAAACTTCGTCGTACAAACAAGTGAACTGTACACTTCCACAAATAATCTATGAGAGTTACTTATGAAACCGAAAGTACACCGATTTATGACGTAGTTATTTTAATAGCAATGTGATGATTTATCACATGACTAGTGCATGCATTGTTTGTGTTTGTCGTTGTTACTCATACATAAAAAAGAAACCAGTGTATTTTGAGCCATTCCATCTGTGTTTAAATTGTAGAATTAACCTACTACTTCTTATGAAGAACGAAATGACATATCAACAAAATAATAATATTATGTTCATGTACTTAGTACATTAATGCATATTTCGATGATATTGAACTTTATATATACTTTTTATCAATGAAGCTTGGCGCGGACCCATGATGAGGTTTATGGGGCATGCATGGACCCTTCTTAGATGAAACTCGACATAAAAAAAAACTTGTAAAAACACTCAAAAATTGAACTCGTGACCAGTAAAGTAAAGTAAACCTTTCTGTAATGTGCATACACTTTACATGTATTCAGGCCTTTTAGACGATAACTTGCTTGATACATTTGCTTGTTATTGATAAAAAGATAACACGTTCCATTTAATCGATCACATAAAAGGTCTCACTTAACTGAAATAAAGATCGATTTAATATATATTTGTTTGGTTGAACAATGAACGGGATATCTTTTGAATTCAGTTTTAAAATTTCGCCAGACTAAAGGTTTGCTCATTTATAGTATTAAGACAATATAATATAATTCACTGAGTCAAATAAGTTATAAATCTGACGAAATAATAATAATTTCGTTTATGAAGTTTTTAAATTTATTTTTACTGTAATTTCTCTTTATCGATAAACTTCTTATTTTGCTTATTTTGCGTTAGGGAGTGAATTCAACTATTACCCAAGTTTGTTAAGTTTATTACTATTTGTTATTAGTATGATTTGCAGAAGAAATTGAAAATTTGATAATAGTAATAGGAGTTGAGGTAAAGTATACTAAATCGCTATTGAAAATTTTCAAAAGTGTTTTGTAAAGATGAATATTTGTAAGTTTCGAGCGGTTAAAGTTATAAATTGAAAATATATTCGGATTGTTATATTTTTTAGTAGTTTTTTTTAATTAATAAAACTAATGTTGTAAAACGTTACGGCACGTCTATGAAAATAAAATGATAACAATCCAGATAATTATGTTGACTGTTATGTTTTTGTTTTTTTTTTTTGTTTTTTTGTTGTTGTTGTTGTTGGTTTTTCTTTCTTCTTTATTATTCATTTTTAATTCTTGTTTCTTTCTTAGACAAAGTGAGCCTAAACCATTTTTTCCAAAAACATGGTTTCCCTTGCGTTTTAAAAGTAGCGACGCATATTCTTATACCACAGCAGCTTATCATGCATTAAATGCCATTCTTCACAATAATTTCAAAAAACAATGTAATTGTATTAGGATCTAACACCGGCTGCCTGTAGAGACCGGAATATCTAGCTCGAGGGTAACTGTTTACGGCGGTAATGAGGCTCTGCCAAGTTTCCGCTCAACAGTTACCCGAGAATGAGATATTCCTGTCTGTGATGACGGCCCGTGTTTTATTATTACAAATAAATGATATTTCAAAAGGTAATTACGAAAACAAATAATATTATTTTCATTGAGCACGGTTTCTTATAATAGCATATAAATTTACAACTTCATTTAAAATGGCACAATGTCGCCATCCTAAGAACGAAATTCATACATATTTAGTTTATCTCCCCTCAACACGAGGGCATGGATTTTACAGCTCGTGCAGAAATAGTGATTAAATGCAAATTCAAAACGATTTATAAATATTTTTTTTTGAATATATAGATTTATAAAGGTAGTTTCTCTATGCCGGCGAAGAGAAATAAACAAAACAAAGATTCCAAACGGAAAGAGAAGAGACAAGAAATGTCTCCATTGTTTGAAGATACAATTACACACGAATCGAGTGATCTGTATTTTATTCATATGATTGTAAGGCTCTTCTGAAAAAATCCATGTACTTGTGTTGTTTGTGTTTATATATTGTGTACTTGCTATAAACATGTATTTGTTTAATGCAATAAAATTTTGAAGTTGAAATATAAGGCGCATGGAAATGACGTCATTTAAAACACGCGACTTATTTTGCACGTGTGTACAAGACATGTTTTTCTAGCACTGTATAAACAGTAGATAATCCTGTCTGGTTTCCTTAAGTGACAAAAATCTCTTTTTTCTACCCTAAACCATATGGTACTGGTCCGCTCTTTAATTGTAACGATTTTAAACTTTCATGACAATATCGAGAGAGTGGCACAAGATTAACGGTCAAGCCATAGACACATGATTTAAATGGTAAAAGTACAGTTAGACTAGTATGCATATTGAAAACATGTATTTATCATTTGAATTTATCATGGAAAAAAAGAATTAAATAACAGGACACGTGAAAAACACAACAAACACGACGGAGTTTATTAAAAAGGTAAGTTTATGTGTCTAGTTTTAGTGTTTTGTGTAAGACTATAGGTAGAAATATATCGCAAACAAGTTTATTCAACGAACTGTACCGGTAAAAAGCTGGAAATCATCACGTAAACGTATGCTTACGGGGAAAGTGTGTGTGGACACACTCGTGTTAATGAACTTCATTTTGGGAAAGGTAAACATTTATAAAACACTACCGTTTTGTATGAAATATTTGAAGTTATATTTATAATGATCAGCATGGTATTACATTGTGATAAGCTAAGCAGAGAAATGAAAAGGTTAAAAGTGATATTTGTTTTTCAAATTGTGGACTGTTTTTCACAGACTGTCAGTGATAGGGTAATGTTACAGTTAAATCCCTTGTCTCTATATAAAATATTTGTCCCTATATTTTTGTCAAATTGCTTGTGTAAGTTAATTACACTTTATATGAACATACCCAAGTGTGTCGGACCCCTTTTGTCTGTTCGTCTTTAAAACTCTTTTCTGGAGAATAATTTAAAAGGTATGGAAGGATTTTGATTGCAATTTTACAAAATCAGTGACGGAGACCAATAAGTGGTAGTGCAGTGTGCAAGAACCATAAAACTGAACATATATTTTAAAGTGGCTTGGTCTACAATGGGTACATTTTCCTTGAGTATTTAAAATACTGATAAAAACAATTGAAATGTATCATTTAGATATTCAAATGAAAATGTGCTTGAAAAAATATGTTGATAACATTTAAAATGATTTAGTATGAGCATTTATGTGATTAATAATAATATTTTGTTCTAGAACGTTATTACCCAATAGAAAACAACGCATGTGATATCGAATCATCTGTACACCTGGAAATAAGTTAAACACACTCCGGAAAATTGGTTGTGATTGAAAGCATGATTGAGCTAGAAAATAGTAATTTGATAAGTAGCGATGATTCATACACCAGTAAATTTATGAGTTTAGTTTATTCTTAACCAAATTATTGAAGCATAAGCAAATGCGTTTTCTTTTGCTTCCTCGGTAAACCCTAAAGTAATACAGGCTCCCCGTCGCGAGCCGGCATAAGAATGGTTTACAGTGAAAAAGAGTCATTTTTCGTTGACGTGCCAATTATGTAACGCTATCATTATCACGCTTTAACATACGGTATTATACAAGTGTATCATGGCTTTATGTATACATTTAACGTTAACATGGTAAATACAACACACTCCCAATCGTGCATCTTTAGATAACAATTTCAAATATACAATGTATGAATTCCAAATAAGATTTTGAAATCATAAAGAGAATTTTGAAATCTAAATAAGAATAGAAAGTAACAGGCGGATATCCCCTTCCAGAATACCACTTCCCACCATCTTGTTTCGCAGTAAGATGTTTGACCCGAAGATATCCGAATGAACCAAACATAATTGTATGACCACTCAGCGCTTTGTCGAATGCACCAATATCATTTTGTTGACTAAGCGTTGACTGAACAACTTTATCACAGAACATCATGTTTTATTAGCAGGACCACCGAACAGTATATCATCTGAACTTGATATAATGACGGTATCGGACAACAGTTTGTGTTACTTCTGAACATAATGACCTCTTCGCCGAACAACATATCATTGCAACTGGAAATAATGAAAGTATCACACAACAATACACTGACTCAGCTAAACAAAATGATAGTACCATTCAGCTGTTTATTTTCATGGTAAAACATAATGAGAAGAGCACCAAACGGCATATTATGATAACTGAACATAATAACTGTAGCACCCCACATCATATCTTTTTAATTCAACATAATTTTGTTACCACATGCCTGTTTGTTTTTAGAGCTCAACATAACAACTAATGCATCCGACAATACATTGACTTGGCTTAATAAAATATAATCAGCACACAACATAACACTCAAATAACTGAGCACATTGAGATTTCCAACTAGCATTTTGGAATTTTGACCCAGTACATTTATCTCGGTCTCAACAGAACGTATTTAACCAGGTATATCAGTCATTCTAAACATAAAACTGCCCAAGCGTTTAATAGCTTGACGTGTTATATCATTTTTAGTTGGGACGTAGTCCCAACTAGTGCACTTACAAACCCGAAATTTCCAACCATACAGGGTAACGCCCACTGCTGTGACGTTTCATCGCCACTCTAAATGCTATATTGTATTCTAACATATCAAGCTAAGCTGAATTCATAGTGATCACCCGACCATGACCGACGCATAACCGCCGCGAGTGAAAAATAGTGCTCTGAATTTCTGAAAACTTCGATTTATTGCAAACAGAAGTGGAGACAAGAAATTTATTTTTTGAAAATAATGTGCAATTGAGCTTGAATTACGGTATTAGAAACGTAGCGGATATAATTTGAAAGGTCACATAATTCTATGAATGGGATAGTAAATTAATTGGGTCATAGTGCTTGACGGCTTGCAATATTTAACTTACTCATCCGCCTTATCATCACATTTTTTTGTATTATATTCCAGAATTTTTGAAAAAGACATTATTTATCGGATAAATTTTGTAGTTTATAATTGCAAAGTGGATATTGAAATAGAATTAGCCAGAGATGTAGATAATCTATTCGTCTCTGAATTAGCCGATAATTAGGTTAAATGAATCCGACAACTTCCGGTATATTTTTCGACCTACTTCACGAGCATAATTATCAGCCTGTTAAGCTCATAAGGTATGTTATAAAGCAAAATATGTTATGAATTTGATGACTAATAATATTATGTTTATTTATTGATGCCAATTTGTTTCCGAGGACTAAAACTTTCGTAAATAATTTCGAAGTAATTTTGGAGATCTCGAGTCTTTCGTACCCAAGACATTTCGATCATACTTAGACTGCAAAACCGACAGATTTTACAAATTGATATTACACAGATGTCTGCCTTTACAGGAAAACCGGCATATACGCCTACAATTTTTTGGTCTTGTCACGGCCGTTACGTCTCTACCAAATGGGGCACATTCTTGAATATTTCAGAATAATTTTATTTTGACCTTTATAAATTATTATCTATTTAAAGTCTAGCCATTTCATTTTGGGTCATCTTTTTACAATTTGAATAATTATTCTGGAAAAACGAAGTGCGCAAATGATCTAAAGGTTTGTACAAAGATTAGTGTTCTAAACATTCATCAAATGGTACATTTATAGATCTGGAAAAAATATTTCAGTCCCATCATGACAAAATACCTCAATGGAACCCCTTTAAATTGAATTACACTTTTTTTAATGTATGGGTAAATTCCATTTTCAGTGGTTGAAATTTTTCCTCTTTTCTGATTAATCAAGCTATAGTTTCCCATTTATAAAGCCACAGGTTGTTTTGAAAGTTGAAAAAAAAAATCACTGCCACCTTGATAATTGTTAACCTGAAAAATCTTCAGGCACTTAAAGGATTTGAACCCCAGACCTCTTGATTTACAAGGCAGACACACAAACCATGTCGCGAAAATGTTACAACACAACAGCAAGACTGTTGGAAATGATCTATACCTGTTCTCAATACATGGTTGAAGTAATTTATCAGTGTTAATTTGACATTTTATATGATTTAACAATTTTTGACACTGCTGATATTTCACATTTTTTTTCACAAATCTACATGTAAAAAATAGATATCATAATAAAATGATAGAACATTTTCTATTTTAGTGGTAATACTGTGGAGTAATATGAAGAAATATTATTAATATTTTATTATCATAAATTTTTCAAATTTTAATTATGTCATTACATGCTGTACACAATCATATTATAGTGTAAACATATATATACATTGTATAGACACATATATACATTGTATATACCAGAGACGTTAAAATACATAAAATGTATTTATATGTCTCTGTATATACACACACTAAGAGAGTAGTATTGGATGGTTTTGAAAATGAAATCTCTAAATTGATATTTTTCAGGGAAATAAAAGATTATTTACTTTAATATTCACTTGGAAAGGCTGGTACATGTAGCTAGAAAAAAGTACAGTATAAGATTAAAGAAAGACTAGAAGATTATTACAAACAACAGGTACTTATATAATATTTAATGTATATTTCACAAACCAAACTGTTTTCCAAAAAAAATGAATGAAAACATGCATTTTACCAGTGTCACCACGGGTCAGATTAACAGACCCATTCCCAGTGGCAAATAATGCCAAATATGCTTTTTTTTCTTTTCCAAGTTTAGAAAAAAATCATAAGTCAAAATTCCGTTATCAAAGGTGACAATTTTTCTTCATTCCATTTCAATCCAATATGTGGTACCAGACAGATGATGTTCAAAAACACATTCCATTGTCAATTTTTTATGTATTTTTTATGCTTTGAATGATATACAATTTGTTGGATTAACAACTTTGTACATGGTACTAAATATTTTTCCCAATCAAGATGCAAAATTTCTTAACCCATTACTTCATGAGCATATTTGTGAAAATGGCTGTTTCCATTGAAAAGTCTCCCGTTGCAAGTTCAAATTGCTATAATACTATAAAAAACTGCTTTCAACACTAATCAAACTTGGCACAAATGTTGACTGGACCATTGCCCTTGCAACAACATGCTCAGGCTTAAATTTTCTGTTCCATGGCAACGAGGGGACATCTCAAAATTGCCCAAAATCACTACTTTGCCTCGATTTTTTTTCAATCAAAATTGATTTCAAAGTGATGCCACTTCTCAATGGATTGAGATATAGTCAAATGCTTTTCAGCGTTGGTTACACGTTACCTTATGATCAATCTGGGTCATTTACAGCCTCTCACAAGTCCAAAATTTTCTTTGGCATCATGCTTAGAATGGTTTCACACAGGTCAGTAAGACCGGTGTACACAATGTACTGTCTGCACATATGTGTCAGAAAAAATATCACAAAAAAAGCAATTTAGTATTACTATGAGTATTTATAAAGAAATTGTATTTTCAAATATATTTAAATAGTATTATTGAAAGTCATTTTGTATGACAGACACAACAATCTAGTGCTCTGCATTATAAATGTAAGAAGAGACAAATAAGATAAGCATTTTTTTTGCAAATTATTGCACTTCATATAATTTTTATTGCTTTTTTTTAAAGGTGGACATGTGTCACTGTCAAGCGAATGAAGATAAGCATCACACTCGGTGGGAATCTCCAGTTTCCAGATGTAGTGATCATAACTGTATAGGCACCATTAACACTTTGGACTAGTTGGAGTATTTTAGAGGGCTAGTCTGAATTGAATCCCCTGTCAATAGTAAAGGCCAGTCATGAACATTGTGTTGAAGGAAAATGTTTAAAACTCGGATTTTCCGCTTTAAACCAATCATTACTTTACCTTATATTCAGTGCGGTAATGTAGGAAATGGTTACTTTCTGGAACAGAGCTGTCAATTATTTTTAATTTATTAGCTTGTTAGTGTTATCCGTCGGACAGTTGTGAAGTAAAAACATCGCAGTTTGACTGTTATACAAGTTGCCTTAAAGAAAGTATGTCGAAATCTTAACAGTTATTCGTTGATTTTGTAGAAATTGACCAGAATTCACCTTTGTTTAACATGCATTGCTTGGACGTCGGAAAAAAGACATGCAAAGACAAATTTAGTGAAATTTTTGGAAAATTGCTCGTATTTTGGGGCATTTGTTTGGATTTTTATTTTAAGTAAAAAAAATGTTTATATAAAGGGTACATTTTTTCCCAGAGAAAAAAAAAAGATTAAAAATAGTGGTCGGTGTATTTTTTCCCAACAGTTCTTTTTTGTTTTTATGATATTTTTTTTCTTTGTTAGGGGCCTTTATTCTTTATATATAGTTTTTATGAAACATAATATGGGTAAAGTGGGATTTTAGTGCCTTTTGGTTTTTAAAAGTATCTTAGGGTTGCCTGGTTTTAATGTAAGTAATTTAAAACCCGAGAATTTTAAACTTGGGGAAAATTGTTTTATTAGTCCCCTTCTATTTTCATTTTAAAAGGGGAAATAAAAAAACTGACCCATTTCTTGCTATGTCAATGAAAGCTGAAAGCTGAAAATTTTGCTATAACTTAAATGGTACAAAAGTAAGGTTCATCATTACTGGTATCTGATATAGAACTATACAGAGATTTAGCATTGTTATAATAATTTATGCTCCTATGATTCTGGATAAATATCTTTTTCATTCCATACAGACTTGTACTTTTGGGGAAAAAGGTTGCTCATGAGGAAAAATATGTTTTTAATGGTGTTTTTGAGATTTTAGTTGATAAAGGAAAAAAAAACATAGTCTGTACTTAGGAAGACATTTGTCCTTCACACTCTTGTCCGAAATATGAATATAACTAGATATGTATTGAAGGGATTTTATGTAAAACTTCACAAGTGATAGAGACTTTTAAGAGAAAGTGCAATGTTCCAAGAAACATAACTCTAACCTTGCTTCATTGTTTTTAATTTTATTCCTTAAGTTAAAAATGCTTATTCCAAACTATCACTGAAAATTCTACATTCAACTTGAACCGACTCGAATTTTCCAATGTGTTAAAGAACCATAACTCCATTCCTTAGTTTTTAGCTCACCTGTCACAAAGTGACCAGCGTCAAGCTTTTGTGATCCCTTTTCGTCCGGCCGTAAACTTTTACTTTAAATGACATTTGCTCATAAACACCTACGCTAATTTCATCCAAACTTCACAAGAATCTTTCCTTTGGCTGTCACCTTTAAAAATTGTGCAAAGAATTTAATTCCATGCAGAAACTCTGGTTGCAATGGGAACCGAAAGAAAAAAAACTTTAAATATCATCTTTTTAAAAACCCTAAGAGCTAGAGCTTGATATTTGGGCTTGAAACATCCTTTAGTGTTGAGTGTCTACCAAGTTTTTTAAATAAAAGCCCTGGGGTCAAAAATTGGCCCCGCCCAGGTGTCTTTGTTTTTTTCCCTATGTGCATATAGTAAAAACTATATAAAAAATCTTCTTTTAAAGAACCCAAAGAGCTAGAGCTAAGATATTAAGCATGAAAAACATCATCTAATGAGTGTTTACCAAGTTTGTTCAAATTAAAAGGCCCGGGGGTCAAAATTTGGTCCTGCCCCAGGGGTCATTAATTTTCTTTAAATGCATATAGTTAAAAACTTTAAAAAATCTTCTTTTTTAAGAAACTAAAAGAGCTAGAGCTAAGATATTTTAGCATGAAATATCTTCTAGTGATTGTTTACAAAGATTGTTAAAATAAAAAGCCCTGGCCGGGTCAAAATTGGTCTGCCCCAGGGGGTCATTAATTTTTTTAAAATGCAAATAGTAAAAACTTTAAAAAATCTTCTTTTAAAGAACCCAAAGAGCTAGAGCTAAAGATATTTAGCAATGAACATCTTCTAATGAGTGTCTACCAAGTTTTGTTCAAATAAAAGCCCCGGGGTCAAAATTGGCCCTGCCCCAGGGGATCATTGATTTTCCCTATATGCATATAGTAAAAACTTCAAAAAATCTTTTTTAAAAAGAAACCCAAATAGCTAGAGTTTTTATTATAAGTTGAAACATCTTCTAGTGAAGTGTCTACAAAGTTTGTTCAAATTTAAAAAGCCCTGGGGTCAAAAAACTGGCCCCTGCTCCAGGGTTGTCATTGTTTTTAACAGTATGTGTTTAGTAAAAAACTTAAAAAATCTTCTTAAAAAAAACCCAATAAACTAGAGCTTTGATGTTTAGCATTGAATCATCTTTCTTATGGATGTCTTCCAAAGTTTGTTCAAATAAAAGCCCTTGGGTTAAAACTGGCCCTGCAGGGTGGGGGGTATATACAGGTGAGCAACCTCAGACCATCATGGCCCTCTTATTTAATTATCTACCTTTATTATACATGTTCTTAATTATGCTTGTCCAGAGAAATACTGGAAAAGAGTTGATTGAAAATTTGATTAAAACTTTTACACAGCGAAAATAATCAAGTGAAAGAAAGTGTTTTTTTCAAAGAACCCTAATTTTTGTGTCGCCTTGAAAAGGTGACATAAAGAGGGGTTACCTTTTGTCGGCGGCGTCTGTGTCGTTGTCGGCGTCCCCTAAAGCTTTGTCCGGAGCATAACTCAGTCACTATAAGTCTGATTTGACTTCAAACTTGGTATGCATGCTTCTTTTAATAACCCGAAGTGCAGTGCACAAGGACCGGTACTCTGCAGTTCTTATTTTTTGAGTTAATGCCCTTTGTTAATTTTCATACTTTAATTTTGTCCGGGCCATTTCTCTTCAAAACTAAAAAAGCTATGGACTTGATACTTCATAGGACGATAGATCTCATTAAGAAGAAGTGCAGTGCACAAGAACCAGTTACTCTGTACTTCCTAATTTTTGAGTTATTGCCCATTGTTAATTTTTCATATTTTATTTTTGTCCGGGCCATTTCTCCTAATGAATAAAAGCCATGGACTTGAAACTTCATAGGATGATAGGTCTCATTAAGAGAAGTGCAGTGCACAAGAACTGTTACTCTGCATTTCTTATTTTTTGAGTTATTGCCCTTTGTTTATTTTCATACTTTAATTTTGTCCGGGCCATTCTCCTTAAGTATAAAAAGCTATGGACTTGAAACTTCATTAGGATGATAGATCTCATTAAGAAGAAGTGCAGTGCACAACGAACTGGTACTCTGCATTTCTTATTTTTTGAGTTATTGCCCTTTGTTGATTTTTCTTTCTTTATTTTTGTCCTGGTCATTTCTCCTCAAGTATGAAAAAACTACGGACTTGAACCATCATAGTATGATAGATTTATTGATAAGAAGTGCAGTGTTCAGAAAAACATGCTGCTCTAAACTTATTATTTTTTTAGATATTTTGCCCTTTTGTTATTTTTCATACTTCATTTTTGTCCTGCCATTTTTCCTAAACTACATTGTTTCACAAGGCCGACACATCTGACTCGCCTGGAGTTCTAGTTTCTAGCTTAATTTTTACAATTATTCATCTCTTAAAATACATGTTACAACACTTTTTAAAATAATGGTTGTCTGGAGTAAATCTTTTTAATGATATCACACTCAAACTAAATACAACAGTTGTAGAGACTAGTGAGCAGAAGTCTTGTGTCAAATAAAACCAAAATTCTACATTACTTAGTTTTTGAATTATCTCCGTATATATTTCATTATACTGTTCTGAGAGAGGATTAAAAATATTGAAGGAATTTGATTGAAACTTTATAAACGTTATTACAGTGAAAGAGATTAGCATAGGTGAGAATTGCAGTAAACAAAGGCCATTATAAGTTCTAATGACATGGTCACATTCATATAATGTGATGCAAAAAATATTGACCATTTGAGTGTTTACTTGATACTGATACAGAAAAATTTGATATATATCACAATTGATTATTTTTTCAATAGCTTTGTCTCCCTTTATAATGTCATGTGTTAAAATAGTCAAGCTTGCAGTTCCTCTGGTAGCTCTAATTTCACTTGTTGCTCTTGTCAAAAAAGCGCCAATAAACGGTTATTTGATCGACCTACACGTACATGTAACCTAAATATTAATTTTTGAACATGTGTGTCATAGAATAATTGTATCAACTATGTTCATTTACTGAATTGTGCACTTTATTATTTATTCAACCGGCAACACCCTTCACTTCATTGAATTATTCTGCCCCGAAATAGAAAAATAGTTATTTGATCCTTCATACGTCCCAAACTGCAGTGCCTTCCAGCACTTTGATTATTAAACATTTGGGTTTTATTTTCATGCTTTTTACTAGATTATACTTGATACTTTCACAGTGAAAAACTTTTCAAATGAAGATACTACTATTTACAAATTTTCCCCATGTGACGCCTCACTTTTTTATTCATGCCTTACCCCAATTCCGATATATTCAGGGCTTTTTAGAGTAAAGCAAGGTTGAACATTGATAAGTAGAACCTAAATTTTAAACGTAATCAAAAAGATATTTCTTACATCAAATTCATTCAATTTACCGAACACCAAACTCGTTTCTATAAATTTGTGTCTACTTTTTGATTTCGTTATATACACTTCTTTCATCTTGCAAAACTGCTCTTGATGACATTTGGGCATATTCAAGTATCCTTTGAGCAATAACTGTAGAAGCTGTGTAAAAGCAATGGCATTCATCTGCCCGAAGGATAAGTGGATAATCCAGCGTTCGTTAAACGGCTTTTCAAAACATTCAATGTTTACCAAATTCCCAGTCGCTTCTTGAATGTATACTCAACTGTCAACAAATAATTATTGTCTGAAACAATCCACGGATATGTTTTCATTCTTATGATAGATGTAAAATTATCATTATGATAGATGTAAAAT